CTTTGCTCAGTTACCCTGCTCTGATAAACTCCATATCTGTTTTAACCATTGAACTAATGAACAGTCGGTCAGTAGAGCAAAATACACTGTTTATATAACAGCACCGCCCCCCCCCATTTGATCAAGGCCTCAAACCCCCCCCCCCACCACACGGAACCGCCCAGCGCCCTACGGGGGCTGTAGCACCCACTCTGGGAAACCCTTGTATAAAGGAACAAGCCTGCTTTACCATCGTGTTGTGAAAAAGACTAAATGATTCCAACGTACTGAGCAAATCCCTATTTCTGTCTCCAAGGTGATACATTTTATTGCTACTGAATAAGACTTCGAGATTTAAAATAATATTTATTACAACAATGCAACAGTCAACGTTCGATAATCAATCAAATATTACATTAGCGCAGCGGTGACATATAAACATCGCAAAACAGTCAGTAATACTGTGTATGTAAAGGGACTAATTTGCATCGGGTTCCGCTCTCACTGGAGCACAAATCCTTTAACAGTTCTCTACTTTCGACAGAACACTCCAGTACTCTCCACACGGTAACCGCAGTAGCGCCGTAGGTAGACGCTCGCCTCTCGGCCTCAAGTTCATGGCTCCGAATTCGTATCGTAGATTTTTTGTTTGGTTTGTTTGTTTGTTCAAATGCCCTGGAATCTTAGGTCCTCCAGCGTGACTTCGAGCTGGCAACTGTGGGTGGATGGCAGGAGGAAGGGCTGCGTTCTGACCCACTGCCACCTAGCAGCTATGTAGTAAAATGCGACTAGGAGTGTTTCCTTCAAAATGTAGCACATCTGCAAGAGAGGCATAGAAACAGTCATCTGCGTACAAATAAAACGAGATCTTTAAAACAGATGTGCCGCAAAACCCATCTTTTTAAACAAGACCAAAGTCCAAACGTGGATGAACAGCCAGAACTGTCATTCAGAGTTTACAGCAATAATAAATACTGCACATACGCCAGTCTTACATTAGGGCCTTCTAAACAGTGATTTTCCCCCTAGCAGTTGTATTGTATACATTATGTATATTAGTTTCACAAAGCATAGGACACCTTTCCAAATAAAGAGGCGTATTTGGCAGACAGTGCTAGCTACCAAGGTCAGAATAGCGGAAGTCAATAGGTTGATCGGTCAATATAATACCACTCGCCTCTACGTCCAGATAAATTCATGGAACCTTTCTGGTGTTTTGCTGGGTCGATCTGGGATAACATATACAGACAATGGTACCAGGTAACTAACTATTCACAATTATAACTTTATAGCAAACGGGTTACCCCATAGTTGCTTCTTTCCTGTGCTAACAATCACATACAATGTCCATTACAGTCTCATGGGGAAAAAAAACACACACACACATTGACCCAGACTGCAGTTTGAACTGAAACCAATAGCATTAAGCAGCAGTCTGAAGTGCCAATACATACAGTCCTACACAATCAATGAAGCATGGCCTTCACTATTCACATTGGAAATCATGTCTTTCCACACCTTCGTATCGTATTTACTGATATCATTCTTCATATAGACGACTTCTAATGATATGATGCAAAACTGTTCTATTCTGGAAGAAGCTGTCACTGGGGAAACAATGATATCAAAACGTAAGGCCATAGGGCGACAAGTCACATGTTAGCGACTGAGATATCATAGTTAGCTAGGATGACTTTTTTAAACAAACATTCCAAAAGGAAATATCTTGTATGCCGCATCAGGCAGGTGGTTGTGACGATTATTGTTACCTAGTGTGGACAAGAGGGTGAGGGAGTTTCGTAGCGGCTAGACGGTTTGTCTGCCGGTCCTAAAGATTTTGGTTCAAATTCGCGTCGAGTCGGATTTTTCTATCCAGAAATAATCTTGGTTCTCAGGCTAACCCAACTTAAATAGATGCCAAGTATAGTCTTAGGAAACGAACGGGACCGGTTCGATGTTAAGCATATCACCTATTGTGTGTGACAGTTGGTCTAATAAAAAATGAGTTAAGCAACATATGCACGGTAGGTTACTGGAGGGAAAATAGTCTTTTCATTGACTTGCTTACTTTGCTGGCGTAGTCTATTCCGAAAATGACAACCTAAAACAACAACGACTACTGTTTTTTTTTCTTTCGGAGGGGAAAGAGGCAAAGGGGGGGGGGGGGGGGCGCACTAAACTTTCCTAATCTCCAGTTTCCTCTGCCTCTGATAAGGGCTGATGTCATGTCTCTCCGTGTGGGTTTCAGGGCTCCTTTTTAGAAAACTAAGAAAAGATCCATAGCCATGTAACATGCATGTCGTAGGGGTGTTTCCTTCAGAATCAGAATGCATCTGACTGAGAGACAAGGAACCAACAGTCTGCATACATATAAGATAGATCTGAAAACCGATGTCTGCGCAAAATCTAAGTTCGGGATCAAGACCTGAGTCCAGGAGTGGACGAACATCCATTACTTTACGCCGGAGTTTACAACCGGTAAACACTAAAAGGAAAAAAAAAAGAAAACAATATCATGGCGATAAAAATATATACATTTAGGAAATGCTGCTGTATTAGTGGGTTTCTTGTTTTTCTAGCTGGTATCTCTGTATGTCTGCTGGGCATTTTCTACAGAGAGAAGCGAAATATGTATTCAACACAACGCGCTGTTTATATAAATAGACGTATCGTCCCTAACTAACTAACAAACAAACAAACAAACAAGGTGTGCCATTTTCTGAACACCGAAACTACTCACTCTGTGGTTCATGTGCAGGTACATAAATGTATCCATCAAAAACTCTGTATTTAATTATTATTTATAAACTATATTTTCAGAAACGTATGATTCACAAACTTTAACACTTGTAACTAATTTTTACATTCAATAACCAGTTTTACCATAGTGATATCATGACAACATATAATGTGTACTTCACATTAGGTATAATCTAAAAATATTTACTTTCAGTCGTCAAAATTGATTTTAGTGCAGCCTCACAAAATATACAGCCTGGAGCAGAATTTACAAGCAGACATGCATGTATATATACCAATGTGTGTGTGTGTGTGTGTGTGAGTCGGAATTATTAGTTTTACTATTTCTCCTAGTAGTGCCCCCGTGTTTAGACCAAAGTATGTATTGATTTTAACCTGTACTCCATAGGACAAAAGGGGTTAATCGGCAATGAAAAGAGCAAAGAAGACACAAACAATAGACTGCACAATTTATTGCCTGGCATATTTCGCTGTATCTCGTCAGGTGCATACTACAGTAACAAGTGAATAAATGAAGCAAATAGCTGAATCCTAAAAAATGAAACACAAATTCGAGTACATTCTACACTGTCTGTTTCACCAAGGTAACCTTAAGGAAACTACCATTTCTTTCTGCCTACAGAGATCCGGTTTTAACCGGTGGATCGCGGAAGCTTCCGCGTATCTGAGTAATCTACGGTTGGCCGATTTGTAAATAATTCGAAATGCATCATCCCTGTTAATGATGTGCCCGGAATTTAGAATGTGGCACGCAATTGCTGATGATGGATTTTGTCGACCAGTCACCTGATTCGTTGTTGTTGAGGTGTTAGTGTTTTGCATTGCTTTTACCACCCATAGTGGAATATGTTCAGCAATCAGTTGCTCCAGTCTATTGTTTGTGTCTTCTTTGTTCAAATTCACATCGGGGAAACATTGCTTTGATTTAATGAAAAGAGCGTTGAAAACTACAACCAAATAAAGAAAAAAATTACCACAGTAGAACAGCTTTACCATAGATTTCCTCTATACGAGATGGTCGCTGAAGTACAGCATGTACACATATTCTGTGTTTCCGTGCTATAAAATAAAAGATAAAATCTCACAAGACAATGTAAATGCATTCAGTTTAACCAGGTCATTCTTTTAAACACATAAATCTTGTTCCGTGTGGTCTTGCAGTAACACAGTGTGATTATTTGAATAATATTGTTCATCTGTAACAAATGCATAAAGATAATATCTAGTAAACATTGCACTCAAGTGAAAACAAACATATGTAACATACAGGATGTCCAAATATTATCTTTATAGCAGTAGATGTCTTGCTTATAGCAGCCATTGACCATCCTGCCTCAGTGACTTTCAGTGTTTGAAAACATGATCACCCACTGTGGCAAGCGTTATAATGACACTAATTCTGTTGAAAGAACCCTTTTTAGGCCTTCGGGTGTATTGGTAATATAGGACTAGGCCTAAATTTTATAGACTAATCTGCATTGCTGGGTGATGGTGTTTTCAGCGGCGCGCCAGCCGCCTCGACTTCCCATGACTTTTACTTGGTACCGCCCAAGGCTGGGTCGATCTGGGAGCCAATGCCATTTTAGAAAAGAAGCGGGGATTCCGTCGGGATCAGAACCCACGACCTTCTGATCTGTAGGCAAGCGTCTAGCCGCTGCATGACGGCGGCTCTCTGTACTTCTAGTAACTAAGAATTATTGGTAAAAGATACTTGAAATAGAAAACTGAAATAGGAATCACAGTGATTTCCTGTGACTGCAGTAGGAGATCAATACCCATGATTGAACACCTTTAGCGAAGAGCCCATGATTTAACACAGACCGGCTACTATGTACTTTTTTGATCACCGCAAGACTTCTAGTGGTCACCACTACAGTACACGAAGCCTATACAACTAGATTCACCTGTGCGCTTCAAGGGCGCTCCATAAATAAAATAACGTCCCTTTAAACCCTTTTCAAGCGTATTGGGTATATAGGACTAGATCTGTATGTTACAGACCAAACATCACTTGCTGTCTGACGTGGATAGAACCACGCTGACCGCCTTTAATTCTCAATACTTTACCTGGTACCCATTTAGAGCCAAGACATTTTTGATAAAAGTGGGGCTTCGACATGACCTTAACCTAAGACCATCTGTGGCTCTCCATGTTGCTACAGATTTCAGCATGGACACTCATATATGGTTATAATTATAAAGATAATAATTGGACACGCCGTCAACTTAACAATAATATATAAATATTAGATCTATGGATTTCATCTTGGACACGTTGGTGGATTGATGTCCTCAAAAATGTTGAGTTCAAACAAACAGGAGAGAGTGATGACTATAACATAAGCCAGCAGGCAGAGTGCCCCGTAACCTTTGGTCAGCTTCCATTTGTTTATGCCCATCGAAGCCAGAAGAAAGGCGACTGTTGCAAACAGTGTCAAGGCAGAGTAAGTCAGACCTCCACTGTCTATTGTGACACTTTCGCCGTTCTTGAACAAACACTCGATCAGCCAGGGAATTCCCAAACAGAGGAGGATGTCAAAGACGTTACTGCCCAGCGAGTTGGATACTGCCATGTCCCCATAACCTGTTGAAAATGTAAAGTTCTTTATTAATATCTTACCCCCAGATGACGTTACAGGACAGTCCAACATTTTAGAGGGTGGTAAGACTGGGTTTCCCGGCTTTCTGACACTTTTAACGTCCCCCAAAAATCTAGAACTTGCCCTAACCCCAACTAAGCGACAAAAAAAAAGGGGGGGGGGGTGGGTGAGACGCACATTATCATATTTCTACCTACGCGAAACTCAGCCCTTCCCAAGCACTACAAAATGGGGAATAGGGTCCTCAAGTAGCCTGAGAACCCAGGTTTCGGGACCAATCATGAGAGAAAAATAATCGGAGCCAACAAGGCATTGAGAACAAATATGCTAAAGCTAGAGGAATGGATTACCGTTGTAAGTCACGTTTAACAGAGCCAAATAGGCAGACACGCTGAGGGACAGTGTGTTCCAATGATAATACGGAGAGTGCGAAAAACGGATAGACGGGAAAAGGGCAACAAAGACAATCCTTCAAGAATAAAGAGAAACACACATTCATAGAGGTTACATGTAGACAATCAAAATACACTTTAAAAAAGAACATTATTAACTGGATAACATGATAGCAAAAGAGAAAAGGGAACAACATTAATAAATCTGCAGATGATGGCTTCTTCAGCACAATAAGAGCAGGAATACAGATATAATCTAGTAACGGTTAGACAAGGCCAATCATCTTCTAGTTTAGGTTTTGGCGCATTTTCTGGCAAGTTTACTGCTGCACGTTCAGGTATGTCGGGGTTAGTAAACCTATATAAGCCATATGAAGTTTTAATTCTGAAACCTTTTTACCTCCTCAAAGTGGAGAATGGCAGTGTTTAAACATGATGACAGGCAAGACTTTATTGTACCATCATTTATAATATATTCTTTTGTTTTTGCGTTAAGCATAGGAGGAAAATGAGTACGGGGAGGGTGTAAGCCACATTGTGTGGTTTACAACTAGGATGCAATATCTTCTCATATCCGATTTAAACAAACCTTTTATTTAGTTGCCTTTTAAGACATTCTTGTTCGGGAGTCAGTGGGTTCATTCTCCACCCCCCCCCCCCCTATTTCCCTCTCTAAATCGGGCCTTGGAACTCACATGGTGAATTTATCAGATGTCTCGTTTCTTCACATAATAGCTTACTATCCGAGAACTTTGTAGCTCCAGCAAAGACCCCGAATAATCTCACAAACATAATCATTAGAACCTTGCATGTAAGCAGGAAACCAAGTAGAATCAGGTGAAAACACAGCAAGTTAGCAAATGCTAGAAAACAAGGCAGGAATATTTATTTTCAGCAAGTCTTGACATCTCTGAACAGTCAGCTTATCTCCGTGGCTTGGGCTGTTTCTGTAAAGTACAAGTAAAGGACATTTTTCCCACAGTATATATAGTCCATATGGACATCCTCCATGACGAATTGCACATAGGTCAAGCATGTCGATGCCAGCCTCTACTAGACACAAAATGTGTGCAAGCGGGACACTACTGATACGTATATTGAGATGGATTAGTGGGGAACAAAGGCAATAAACCGTGCTAGGTGGAAGAGGCCCACCAGGAAGGGAACGAGAATAAAGGAAGAAATGACTGCAGAAAAAATATACACATATATATATATATATATACACATACATACACATTTTTTTTCTCAATATCCAGGAACCATGAGTTGTTAACCCTTTGGCTCGGTACTATGGATATCGCAACTCTTCGGCCTTGATTCCATGATAGGTACCGTAAATTTTAGAGAAATGTGGCTTTTCTGCCAACCCCCGGGCGTGAACCCGGACCACAAGGGTCACCCGTTCGCCGCGCATTTAGGTTTAACCAGCTTAACTAGCAAGCCGGGCACTACAATTATATAGACCAATAGTCACTTGTTGAGACGGTCAAAAGCACGCCGGGTGCCTTTACTTCCAAAGACATTACCTGGTACACATTCGTGGCTGTTTCGACCTGCGAGATAAGATGATTTGAAAAAAAATAAGGCTGCATGGGAAACTGAATGCCCGACCTTCAGGATAAAAACCACAGCTTCTCCTTCTTTGAATGGATTCCTAGAAATGTTCTTCGAAGACAAGACCACTACTGTGGTGTATACCCCCCGAGTACTCAAACATTAAGGCAACAATTATCCTAATGGAAGTTGCCTTGGTGTAGTCGCTAGACACTCGCCTGTGGGTCGGAAGGTCGGAGGTCCTTCCCATGGCGACGTCGACTTTTTTTTTCAAAAATGACCACTTGGCTCCCAGGTCGACTCAGCCTTGAGTGGATACCAGATATATTCCTGTAAAGTAAAGACGGCCGGCCTGATGTTGACCTGATCTCACACCAAACGCCGATTGGTCTATAGAATATATAGGTCTAGCCCTATATGGCCAATATTCCTGAAGGCAGGGAACAGGGTCCTTTACATGTTTTTAAATGTAATTATCCACTTGACCTCACAGTGTGAAAAACCTGCCCTGTGTTTGTTGCTGTACCTACCATCTCTGGCAACAAAGACGCTGGACAGACAGTCGGGGACGCTGGTTCCAGCCGCTAGCAGTGTAAGGCCCATCACTGTGTCTGGGATATCGAGGGCGTCACCTGCATAGGAATTTGTTTTTCTCACTGTATGTCTGACTGAGAGGTGTCGATTGTTTTTTTATTTTGTCTGTCTGACTGAGAGGTGTCGATTGTTCTTCTGATTGTCTGTCTGACTGAAAGGTGTCGATTATTCTTCTGATTGTCTGTCTGACTGAGAGGTGTCGATTGTTTTTCTGCTTGTGTGTCTGACTGGGAGGTGTCGATGGTTTTTCTGATTGTGTGTCTGACTGAGAGGTGTCTATTGTTTTTCTGATTGTCTGTCTTGCTGGGAGGTGTAGATGGTTTTTCTGATTGTCTGTCTGACTGACAGGTGTCGATTGTTTTTCTCACTGTATGTCTGACTGAGAGGTGTCAATTGTTTTTCTGATTGTCTGTCTCACTGAGAGGTGTCAATTGTTTTTCTCACTGTGTGTCTGACTGAGAGGTGTCAATTATTTTTCTAATTGTGTGTCTAACTGGGAGGTGTCGATTGTTTTTATGATTGTCTGTCTGACTAAGGGGTGTAGATCGTTTTTCTGATTGTCTGTCTGACTGAGGGGTGTAGATTGTTTTTCTGATTGTGTGTCTGACTGAAAGATGTAGATTGTTTTTCTGATTGTGTGTCTGACTGAAGGGTGTCGATTGTTATTTTGATTGTGTGTCGGACTAAGATGTGTAGATTGTTTTTCTGTTTGTGTGTCTGACTGAGAGGTGTAGTTTGTTTTTCTGATTGTGTGTCTGACTGAAAGGTGTAGATTGTTTTTCTGTTTGTGTGTCTGACTGAAAGATGTAGTTTGTTTTTCTGATTGTGTGTCTGACTGAAAGGTGTAGATTGTTTTTCTGATTGTGTGCCTGACTGAGATGTGTAGATTGTTTTTTCTGATTGTGTATCTAACTGTGAGATGTGGACTGTTTTTCTGAGAAGTATAGATTGTTTTTTTTAATGATTGTGAGTCTCATTGAGAGGTGTAGATTGCGAGAAGTGTAGATTGTTTTTTTTTTAATGATTGTGAGTCTCATTGAGAGGTGTAGATTGCTTTTCTGATTGTAAGTCTGACTGAGAGTTGTAGATTGCTTTTTTAATTGTGTGTTTGACTGAGAGAAGCAGAATGTGTTTTTGTTTGGGCATGTTTTTTACTTTGTGGAGCATATTGTTTTTGTAATTCTGTGTCCTGCAGAGAAGATTACCTTGATTTTGGATTGCATTTGTGACTGAAATCAGTAGATTGCTTTTGTGATTTTGTGTGTGACTGATATCAGAGAGATAGAAACGAGTAGCACATGGAGTTTGATTGTGTAGCTCTAAGAGAGGAGTAGTAATTATGTTTGACTATCAAACTGAGAAAATTAGCATGCTGATATTATGGTGTACATGAAGAAGATAAGGATTATGGAGTAGTCATTGTATGTCTGACTGAGAGGAGTAGAGAGTAAGTATTATTGCCTGTCTGATAGTTGTGACTGAACTAAATGTGTGGCAGAGACAAGTAGCACGAAGATATAACTGAATGTGTATCAGAGACAAGTAGCACGTAATTATGACTGAATGTGTATCAAAGACAAGTAGCACTTAGTTATAAATGCACATGTGAAAGAGACAAGTAGCATGTAGCTATGACTGAATGTCTGACAGAGACAAGTAGCATGTAGCTATGACTGAATGTCTGACAGAGACAAGTAGCATGTAGTTATGACTGAATGTCTGACAGAGACAAGTAGCATGTAGCTATGACTGAATGTCTGACAGAGACAAGTAGCATGTATTTATGACTGAATGTCTGACAGAGACAAGTAGCATGTAGTTATGACTGAATGTCTGACAGAGACAAGTAGCATGTATTTATGACTGAATGTCTGACAGAGACAAGTAGCATGTAATTATGACTGAATGTCTGACAGAGACAAGTAGCATGTAATTATGACTGAATGTCTGACAGAGACAAGTAGCATGTAATTATGACTGAATGTCTGACAGAGACAAGTAGCATGTAATTATGACTGAATGTCTGACAGAGACAAGTAGCATGTAATTATGACTGAATGTCTGACAGAGAAAAGTACTTAAACTTCTAAAAAAATCAAGTAATAAAAAATAAAGCAATAAATATAATGAAGTATGGAAATATAGCTGAAAGACACCTAATATAAATGCACAGTTGACAAAAGTCCTATTAGAAATAAGATTCATTGTTTTAATAAATAAATTAAAAAAAAAAAAAAGATTAATAATAAAGTTTGTATAGTTCACAGACAAAATAGTTGGTTACTGTAATCAAACAGTCACAAGAAGAGGTCAAAGCAAGAACCAAACCGGCAATGGTGACCATCCAGACCATGATGTAGGTAAGTCCACTGATCCAGATGACCGACATCATGAACGACAGGAGGTAGAGCCTTGACCACACTCCCGGTCGACGACTGTCCGGGATCGTGACGAACAGAACGGCTTTCACTGGACACAGGAAAATCCACAGAATGCGAAGGAATATGTTGTCGGGAAGAATCCACACAGATTCGTATTCAGAAACCGTCACTGTTGATGCAATAGAAGACAGGCATTATATTAACTGCGAATACTTTGAGAGTTGCTCGATACTTCCGTTCTTCTTCTTCTCCTCCTCCTCCTCCTTTCCTCCTCCTTCTTCTTCTCTGAAAATACCATTCGTTCGTTCACTTTCTCTTTTTAACGTTTTGGGTGATGAGGGGATACAAGGTTCTTCTCTTGCTCTTCTAGCTGCCTCAACCATCGACATATCGTGGTGTTGTAGAGTTTCTCTGTTATTACCTTTCCAACTTATTTATGGACTACCTTGTGCTCCTAACACGTCTGCTCTTTTGGTGTATTCCTTGTATGAGAGTTGCCGTGGCGTGGCGGCCTTACTAGGTGACTTGACCCACGGCTCGCTCAAGAACGTCAACAATTCTCACATCAAGAACGGGTCCACGGGAGACCTTGATGTCAGAGAAAAGAAAACTATTTGAATACGCGGGCATGCGCGCACACACACAAACAAACAACCACGTAGTGTCACGTGACACGCAGGAGAGCCCCACATGTGTGGGGCCTCAAGCGAACGACAGTCGCATTTCCGCACGGAAACGCATATCGTAACAAATCTAAAACATAGGGAAACCTATGGGAACCGCTAGGCATAAATGGGAGCCGGCACGAAATATCGCGCCTGACGAGATGGGGTGATTTTCTTGATGTGAACGCTATATATATATATATATATATATATATATATATATATATATATATATATATATATATATATATATATATATATATATATATATATATATATATATATAGATGCGTATTATTATTGTTAACATCATTTTTATGTCCGTGCAGGGCATTCTCCAACTTATTTAACGTTAGGCAAGCATCTTAAAGTACTTCTCAATAACACAATAAACGATATCTTTGTACTGAATACTAGTCACGTATTTCTGATTGGAAGTTCCAGCAGCGATTATCAAAAGTATTTGTCAGCTAACTCTCAAACTGACTGCATCAACGACAGCTATCATCAGACATGTGTGAACACTTACTGAGAGTTCCGTTTTTAGATAATGTCGCCGACGGCGGGATGGACTCCGTGTGGTTCTCAAGGATTTGAGTCTCCTGCTCCTCAGGCAGCGGTTGATCAACTCCATGTTGAGGCTTTTCATATTCACGAGACATCGACAAGCTCATTGATGACTGGCTAATTCGGCTAGAGATGGGATACATAAATAACACATTAGGACTATGGAAATCAAATCTGTATCAATCAATTCATAAGGTGCCAGAAAGATGATTGGTCGCAATAGAATTCTGAAAACCACTGATATCTTTTGCTGCATCCAAGCGATTATTGGGTTATTTCGTAGTGAGATCATCATTTATTCCACGACGACAAGCATTGTTCTCTTTAAGTAAGAAGAATCTCCAAAGGAAGCATGTACAGCAGGAGTCTACCAATCGTCAGTAGAAGTAACCTCTCGTCGACAAATCTTTCGGCCCACGAGCTCTTAGATATTTCCAGAGAGTGGGCCCACCTGAGTTCATGAGGCTCAGGGTTGGTTTCTCCTGCTGCACGTATTACCGGATGTTATCGGACAGGGACAAGACGAATTGGTGAATTTGCAAAAGGTACCGTAGGATAAGAATTTGTTGCGGTAGCATAATTAAAGCAGTCTGCTTACCTGGACGACCAAGTAGCAAGCTTACATTTGGTAAAACATTAAATCTACATTAAATCATAGATAATGTGGTAGACATTCGCGTTTTCACACCTTAAGAGCAGAAGGTATATGGTGCTTTCGTTATGCTGTAGCGGTTAATCGTCACTAATGAATGATATGTTCAATGTAGTGCTTTTACCTTTAGTACATTTATTGCATGACACCGTTGTAAAATATTTCGATCTCGAGGTTAACGAAGCAGCAGACAAATGTGCTGGCATCACTAGAAAGATTCCCATGGCGATGAGAACAGATAAGCGACACATCCCGCTTTTGGGTCTACAGTTTCAGTTGCTTACTCACACAAGACTGCAGGTCACTCCATCCCAACGTAGGACGCAATTTCCTTGTTACATTTAGGCCCGACCCCGTCTGTCGTCTTGGGGTCCTAATATAACCTAAAGGTTGAACAGGATATCTGGGACGTGACCCGGGGGATTCAAATCCGAAAGGTGGCATCTTGTGTCACCAGGTGTTAATGGCTCGTTGTGCCGTCCTGTTTGGGTTGAACTCAGTCAGTCAGCCAGTCAGTCATTAAGTCAGTCATTAAGTCATTAAGTCAGTCATTAAGTCATTAAGTCAGTCATTAAGTCATTAAGTCAGTCAGTCATTAGGTCATTCAGTCAGTCATTAAGTCATTCAGTCAGTCATTAAGCCATTCAGTCAGTCATTCAGTCATTCAGTCAGTCATTCAGTCATTCAGTCAGTCATTCAGTCAGTAATTCAGTCATTAAGTCAATCAGTCAGTCATTAAGTCATTCAGTCAGTCATTAAGTCATTCAGTCATTCAGTCAGTCAGTAAGTAAGTAAGTAAGTAAGTCAGTCAGTCAGTCAGATGAAATCCATCTGGCTTAGCTGTTTTAAGTACTCTCATTGTAACTTCTTTATGTTGGAAGAAAAAATGAAATTTTTTTTTCAGAGGGCGATACATTTTGTACGCCAGTCCGTTTTACATTCGACCCTTCTAAACCGGCATTTCAAACCGATACTTTCCAAACAGCAATTGTATTTTACCTGTAAAGCCTATTATGTTGAAATAACCATATACATAATATAAATATCAAGGAAAATAAACAAAGCATGGATGGTATATGCATAAATATACAAACACACGTATGTACGTATGTATGTAATACATATGTAATGCATACATACGTATGTTCGTACATAAATATACATACATACTAACTGATCCATACATAGGGATGTAGGTGCGCACATACGTACATACGTACGTAATACGTTTGAAACTGAGTGCTACTTAAAATATTTATGCTCCGTTAGTCTGCTATCCAAATTAATATTATGTCTATTAGGGGTGATAAACCTTCAGGTTAGCAAACCGGCAGGGTACCAACCCATCTATCTGAAGTTTCTGCCGAAGGGAGCCGAGCACCACCGGCCGCAGATTTGTGGTCAATGAACACAGACGACTAATGTGCTGCGGCGTGTTTACATGGAAGAGAGATAAATATATAGCAGAAACAACTAAACAGGACTAACGGGCAGACAACCCAGGAACCTATTCTGTCTTATTCACGACAGGAAGCTCACATTTTGCTTTTTAAGCTATCACAAAGGGAAGTAATTAAATGTTATTTAATATAACGTTTCTCCAATTTCATGCATTTTGGGAGACAGACAGGCATAGATAAATTAGGAACACACAGAGAGAGAGAGAGAGAGAGAGAGAGAGAGAGAGAGAGAGAGAGAGAGAGAGAGAGAGAGAGAGAGAGAGAGAGGGAGAGAGAGAGAGAGAGAGAGAGAAAGAGAGAGAGAAACAAAATCCAAATTGGAGCAGGTGTGGCAAAATGTGGATTTGTTGTTTTGAGATGTTTAAATTGCATGCACTCAGTTTCAATATATTCCCTGTCGTTCCCTTGTGGGATGAATTTTTTCGTTATTTGAAGCCCCACCCTGGCTTTTGCCGGGGGCCTGAATATAGATAGCCGGGTCACAATTGTGGCCATAACGGCTGAAAGGTGTTTCTGGGACCTCTCCACGGTGGATCCTCATCCGCATGGTAGCACTTTGTGCCACCCGGTGTTTATCGCCTGTAGGATGTCCTGGTGGGGCTAGCAAGAAAGAAAGCTATATGTTTCGATTTGATCTTTGGCTCAAAGTACGAACACAACAAATCACTGCCTGCCAATATTCCCCAAAGACGTCTATCACTCTTCATTTTTGTAGTGCAACAATATGTCCAACCTCCACACATGCGTCCTTCACAGACGCTATCCCTGATTTCTAGTTTTAATCTACGCCTCCTACGTTTGTTATTGGTTTCATTTTTAATTTAATCAGGTTTCGTTCTAAGCCACAGGTTTAGAACATCTCCAGCGTATTTAAATAAATGCTTTTACTTAGCATCTGTCGAAATCTTGACTCCAATTATGCAGCCTTTAGATAGTGTCGAATTTATTTCTTTTTTTTTTAAACATGTGGGAAACAGGTACCGAACCGAAAATCACACACTGTGTTGGAGAACAGGTGAATACAGTAAATGTTGACTTGAGTGGATCTCGAACACGGTCGCTTGTCTTGGATGTAAACTCTCTCAGACAGCTGTTCGTCTATTTCTTGATGTTGTCCTCCCACTTGTATCGTTGTCAGAAAGACGTGCACAAAGAATGAAAACTGTCCAATCATAACTGAGGAGTGACTGACCGAGTGGGTGGAGCTCTTATATAAGAGGACCATCTGCGAGTCCTCGTAAAAAATAACATCCTAACTTTAACGGTGACTGGACCAGCCATGCGGGCTTAAGTCATCTTACATGAAGATTTGTTTGGCTAAATGACGGAGATACCGCAGCCTAGTTGTAAACCACACTCATAGTGCCGATCGTTAAGGGTAGAAGCATAAAAAGAAGATTACAAGACTGTTTGGAATTTATTGGAGTATAATCGATATATTTTTGAGAACACCGATCACAATAGCGAAAGAAATGCAAAAAAAGTGATGGTTAGACCCAATGGTGTAACAAATCACCATAGATAGAGTGGCATCAAGAGATATTGAAACACCATCAGTGGTAGCAATGACAGCCAAAGATCAGATTGTTTGACCATGAAAAGTGAACAGATCTTTCGGCTTTAAGAGTACTAAAAACTGGAGCATAACCAAAAATAAAAGAAAGGGGGAAAAGGGGGGGGGGGAAGGGGGGTGGGGGGGAGGGGGGTGGAGAAAACCACTAATCAATTTTTACTTCTTCTTTTTTTTCTTCATTTTCTTCTTCTTCTTTTTCTTCTTCTTCTTCTTCTTCTTCTTCTTCTTCTTCTTCTTCTTCTTCTTCTTCTTCTTCTTCTTCTTCTTCTTCTTCTTCTTCTTCTTCTTCTTCTTCTTCTTCTTCTTCTTCTTCTTCTTCTTCTTCTTCTTCTTCTGTTTTTTCCTCTTCTTTTTCTTATCTTCGTCTTCTTCTTCTACTTCTTCATCGTCATCATAACCATCATCTTTTTATTGTTCACCAGTTGTAAACTATTGCAGAATGTTTTTGCCATTGTGCATTTCTGAACTTTTTCTTCCAGGGCTTGAGCGTTGCGTGCACGTCCCTTTCACAAATCCGACTTTGATGTATGCAGATTGTTGGTTTCTCTCCTTTTAGACTGATGCACTCTGACTTTGAAAGAAATACTCCGAATTAATTGAATGTTACCACACATTTAAAAGCGCCTAGTGAGTCAATTCTTTCTTTCTCCAAACTGAGACATTTAGAGTAACTATACTATATTTAAATGGAGAGAGAAACAAAATTATAACATTGATGTCTAAATGATGCAATAGACGAGAAAGAATATATATGACAGAAATAGAGATGCATGGAAGAAGTAAAAGCTCCATGGAACAAAATTACCAATAATCACATCAGCAGCGAGGCAGGAACTCTAGCTCATTAGAATAATCCAGCCCTGAGAATCATCATGATCGCTATTGTCTGTCGCAGACTAGGTATCGGAGAAAGGAATTCCGTACACAAACCAGACAAAAACAGTGTGTTTAAATAACAGAACAGACATGTTTATAAAAGAAAAGAAGTTATGGGCAAAGCAAAGTCTAGATAACTTATTTAGAAGGAAAATCCACGTTCGTCTGCACTAAAGATTTCAATACACCCCTTTCATCATTTAATTAGCGGTAACCGTTAGCAAAATAGATATGTTTCGTTGTAAAGACAGACAGACAAACAGGCAGGCCAGTCTAGCCAGTTGATTTGATGTACTTTACCTGTGTGCTCTGGCCCGTTTCATCTCCTCTGGAATTGGGTGCTCCTCTGGTGGCTTGGTAACTAGCGGTTGACGTTCAAATTTTGCCAGAATCTGGCTGACAAAAAATCTGGAGTTTTTCTCCAGCGGTCGATTAAAGTACATGATGATGATGTATAGAGCGTAAAAGAGAATCATCATGAGTGCCTCAAACCTGTGGTTAATGAAAAATCAATGCTGGTATGTGCCTCAACCATATGATAAATTAGAACAGTGTTGTAATATGTGTTTCAAACCCATGTAAATTATAAGAATCACAGGGAGTACCTCTCACATGTGGTAATTTAGACGAAAAGTCATAATGCGTGTGCCTCTGACATGTGGTAAATCAGAAAATAATCACTATACATGCTTCAACCATATGATACATTAGAACAGTGTTATGATGTGGTCCTCAGACCTGTGTAAATAAGAACAGAGTCACGATGACTACTACTGACATACGTTAAATTAGAACATGATTTGTGTGCCTGGAACTTGTGGTAAATTAGACGATTCATGAGTGCCTCTACCTATGGTAAATTCTAAGATAATCATCATACGTGAGTCTGACATGTGGTAAATTAGAACATACATACATGTTTTGTAGTAGTAAGCAGAGCTCCTTCCTTATAACGTTTAGACATTTTAGTGGACACTCTTTCTCCTTTCCCGTTCTTTAGAGTCTTGAACAACAGTTTTTGATTTTTCTCTTGCATTGTTTTTCAAATTTTTTCCAAATTCATCTCATGATTTCTGTTTCGCATTAAGCACTCTTTTCTGACCTCTGTTCTGAGTGTCACATATTTCAGATCTTCTCTTTTTCTACAGCTGTGTTCCTAGCTGCCATGTATTGCTTTCATGATTTTATTTTCTTCTCTCCTGTTTTCAATTCGACTTCTTCCGCCCACCAAGTTTTCTTATACCACTTCCTTCGGCTTCAGACCTCACCACATACTTCTACTGTAGCGGCTGTGGGGATATTCTTGAATTTGCGATATTAGATTGTCGAAAGATCATTTTAGCAACACACTGAACAATTCAGCCAATTAATATTCGGATCTCGTTGCAAGTATTTCACTAAGTTAGTCGACACTAGAGACCCAAACAATTGATGTTGATATCCAGATGTACAATAAACTCTTGCTTTGCAGGCTGTAGATTCTTAACTTGTTGCATTTTGCAATTATATAACATGCAAAGGCGACGTTTTCTGCTATATCTTTTTCCGAATAAGCTTTGTGTCCGACTCCATTAACCAGATAATCAAAAGGCCGATATTATCATTATAGACTAATGACAAATATTACGTCCTTCACTGTGTTTTCGAACATGGTCACTTCTAAACTTGAGGCAAATACAATAACTTTAGAGCCACTCCTTCTCTATACTATACAAACTGGGAACAACTGTTTGACATTTACCACACTGAAAATAAGAACTGACCACCACACGGATGAGGATCAGCCGGGGACCGATCCCAGAAAGCCCATTCAACCGTTAGGTTAAATAAGGCCCCAGACCATAGTCGGGGTGAGGTTTTAAACAAATTTTTTTGTTTTAATCATGAATTTTGACAGCAAAAAATGAAGGACACAAATCGTTGTGGTTTGTGTCAACACTTGAAAATAACAACATACGATTTAGTTCTTTTCATTGTTGTCGTGAAGTGAACAGCCAACCCTACACGATGGAGGAGTCGTGATGCTGACTTCCCTAAGCGGGCAGTCATATTTCAAACTTAAACCTGTCCGGAGGGGTATATAGTCCCTTATATTGATATATACCTTTATATGGTGAAATATTCATTTCTAGACCCTCTAGTAGCTTTGAGATATCTTCATTTTCAAACTTACAACTGTGGGCTGAGAATTTCTGGTATTTAATTCACAAATTCCTGTAAGCCGGTTTACTCCTTGGGTATGAATCCAGGTACTTCTTTCATAGAGACGCCGAGTTTAGATTTAAGCGGCATTCTCTCGCCTGATTCCTAAGTGTCAAGACGTGTATACAGTCTATGTAGAAAATTGGCGCATTCAAAGTACCAGTTCTATATTGGAAGATTTCCTAAGCTTGGGATGATACCTCTTTAGAGATCAGGGAGACGAATCACAGCCCAGCCAACAACCCTAACCCATACCATTCTGGGCACCAAGTACACCCAAAAGTCCTGTACATTGTTGCCACTACCTCAACATGGCAAGAGCTTGTTTGTGAGTTCCAGGACTGGTAGACAATTGCGGACACTTATGTCATCTAACCAGAGAAACAGTCTTCAAGAGCTTTGTTAGGCTCTTATGAAGTTCTTGTGTCCACACCAGTGAGACAGTCAGCGGGCACCACAGTCTTCAAGAGCTTTGTTGGGCTCTTATGCAGTCCCTGTGTCATCACCTGTGAGCCAGTCAGCCTGTACCAGATCAAATTGAGGCATAGCTACCTATTGAGTCATTCACAGTCAAATCAACATGGACTGAGGAGAGCAGGGACATATGAACTGGGATAAGTGATCTATTAATTACAATCATGCTGTCTTCCCACAGCACCTTGTGATTTCGATGATGAACTCATGTACCCTCAACGAACTGTATCTGGCTGCTTCATTATCTGGGTTGTGTCATTAATTCCTGAAATCCATTAACTAGTCACTCTTGATTCTCAATTCATTTTTTTAAATTTATGTTGTACTCATTACATGCAAAAATTTTCATGGCTGACTTAGGTGTCCCTGTTTCACCATTCTAACTGTCCAGCTTTTATGTTTGTGTAAGTAATAGGTGTAATCTGTGTTAACATGGTTATGATAGAATACTATCATAACCTGGGGGCTACCTTTTTATAGTAGTGTTGGTGTCCAGCCAAGTGTGCCTAGGAATATTATATATTTTGTAGTGCCAAAGCTTGAGTTGCCCTACTCCTGAAATAAGTTGAGCGTATATTGGCCACGGGATATCCATTAGACCAATACGAGCCAACGACTCAACATAATTATTTCTGAGTGCTGTTGGTTCTTAAGGAGAAATCCTTAAATCAGGCACGTGACAGGAGCAATATGTGACAATTGTAATGCTAACAGGGAAAATGAGAGTATGTGTCATTTGGAAGGGTTTCAGTTATCGTCGAAACGTTGTTACCTGTCATTTCCAATAGTGTAATAATGGCTTTGGTAGTGGAGCTTTCTAGTAAGCTTTACAGGCAAAAACATCTTAAGAAATTAGGCTCATGGAAACTTTGGAATAAGATGTATGCATTCTAACAAGAAGGAAGGGTTGTAACTAAGAACATTTATAGGAATGAGCTAAGAAGTGATCTACGTTCGCTTTGTGTGTGTGTGTGTGTGTGTGTGTAGATGGGAATGAGTACCAGGCAATATTCTGAGAAGTAAAGGCGACTGGCAGGATGTTGACCACATTAGTCATCGAGTGCTAACTAGTCTGTTCACACGTTTATTGGCCTGGGGATGCAGCCTAGACCTGCAGGAAATAACCATTTCACTAAGGGGACAAGATCTTTCATTAATCTATACAGAACAGGCGTCATCAGTCGGTCTACACATGTAGAGCTTCTGATGAGGAGTTAGGAGCACTTGTGTATCTGTTCGGAGTGCTGTGAGCATAGTCCTTACTAATCAATGATCACACCTTTTTTTTTTTTTTTTGAGGACGATATTTATTTTCGGTTGTCACACACGTGTCAGAGATCCATCTGGCCAGACTGATATCTGATTTATTTCGAAAATATTTTAACTAACCGATTTTTGTGTGTTCTTGTTCGTAATCGCTGAATTGTATATTCATGTAACATGCTGATGAAAGCTCTTTAGCCGCCTCGTTCACTTGTCTTTTGTGACTGCAATAATGTGAAGCTGACTGGTTATCATATTCCTTCGCTTTGATATGTTCTCATAACACACAATTTTAAGTCTGGAGCTGAATGACCGAAGCGCCACTCAGGTCAAAGTGTCCTTTACTTCTTTCTACCAGCGGTTCTTTAATATTTTCAGCTAATGGTCCTTTATTACTTTCTATTGGTGGTCGTTTACTACAGTCTACTAATGGTCCTTTGCTACTTTCTACCAATGGTACTTTACTACTTTTTACCAGCGGTCCTTTACTACTTTTTACCATTGTTCCTTTACTACTTTTTTACCATTGTTCCTCTACCACTTTCTTTTAATGGTCCTTTACTACTTTCTACTAATGATCCTTTGCTACTGTCTATTAGTGGTCCTTCACTACTTTCTACTAATGGTCCTTTGCTACTTTTTACCAATGGTACTTTACTACTTTTTACCAGCGGACCTATACTACATTTTACCAGTGGTCCTTTACTAATTTTTTAGTGGTCCTTTACTACTTTCTACTAATAGTCCTTTATTACTTTATACCAGTGGTCCTTTATTACTTTCTACTAATGGTTCTTAGCTACTTTCTAAAAATGGCCCTTTACTACTTTCTACCAGTGGTCTGTTACTACATTCTATCAACGGTTCTTTACTACTTTCTACCAGAGGTCCTTTACTACTTTTTGCCAGTGGTCCTTTACTACTTTCTACCAGTGGTCCTTTACTGCTTTCTACCAGTGCTTCTTTACTACTTTCTAGCAATGTTTTTATCAATGTTTCTTGAATACTTTCTACCAATGTTTCACCTTTACTACTTTCTACAAATGGTCCTTTACTACTTTCTACCAATATCCTTCACTAATTGCTACCAATGCTCCTTTTACTACTTTCTACCAATCGTCCTTTACTACTTTCTACCAGTGGTCCTTCAATGCTTTCTACCAATGGTCCTTTACTACTTTCTACCAGTGGTCCTTCACTACTTTCTACCAGTGGTCCTTCACTACTTTCTTCCTGTGTTTCTTTACTACTTTCTACCAGTGGTCCTTTACTACTTTCTACCATTAGTCCTTTACTACTTTCTACCAATGGTCCTTTACTACTTTCTACCAGTGGTCCTTTTCTGCTTTCTACCAATGGTCCTTCACTACTTTCTACCAGTGGTCCTTCACTACTTTCTACCAGTGGTCCTTTACTACTTTCTACCAGTGGTCCTTTGCTACATTTCTACCAGTGGTCCTTTACTACTTTCTAATACTGGTCCTTTACTACTTTCTTCCAATAGTCCTTGAATATTCTCTTCCAATGGCGCTTTACTTCTTTCTATGTCCTTT